CACAAAATATTAAATCGCCCGGTCATTAAAATATTTATTTTTATGATATTAAAACCATATATATTTCTTTGGACTAAATCTATGTTCCTTACCAGTGGTATATTCCATATCGGCAAAAATGCTGTAGCCTACACATCATTTTCTTAGGGATGAAAATTTGGTTGGAAAAAAGGGAAGAAAAGATGATAATAATTCTTATCTATTAATTTTATTTTGTTGCAAATGCCAAAATAACATTCTTAGCAATCCGTACTTTTATACCTATCCAACGTTTACAGTTTTACTATATATTTAATGACAAAACTTCCTATAGCTGGAATTTTTTAAATTCGAAACTCAAGTGTTTTATTAAGTCTATATCAAACAATTTCATAACCATCGACAGCAACAGGAGGCCATGATTAGTGCAGGAAATGAAATTAATATTACTGGAAATATTTTTGGTTAGTAGGAAATTAAATGTATTGATCGTATTTAGATTATACAGTAAGGAAGTTTTCATATTTTCTAAGTAGTGTAAAAATATGTTAAAAGTCCGCAGTTTTGTTAAGTAGTTTTCATATCATGATATAAACTGAAAAAAATGTCTACAGTATTATTTTAACTTGTCAAATTGTACATGACAATCGTAGATGTCTTCGCAAAAAATGCTCCCACCGAACCCCCCCCCCCTCCCCCAATCCCTATCGAGAGGAGGGGCGACATTTTTGTCTATACCCTTACTTTGCGCCTCAGGATTTATCTGTGACTTCTCAATAGGATAAAACCAGAGACCACGGACTAGAATACTCGGAAATCTCTGGTTTTATCCTACATTTATAACCCCAACCGGAAGTTTTGTATCCCATCTAAAGTCTTATTTTGTATCGAGGTAATTTTCGAGGAATAAATGATTTATTTACAATAAAGAGGCTCGACCAGAGTCGTCTGAAACGATTTAATTGACAAGAAAAAAAGTCTCTCGAAGCGAACGATGTCATTTTAAAGTAGGTTAATGATTGATATATTAACAAAATAGGAGCTTGAAGCGGGAGTTAGGCACCCTGAGGTAAAAATAAATAGGGGATGCCCCGTATACGAAACAGGTGCCTGTGCTACTGTCTTATGATTTACAAAAACCTAATTTAAAAGCAGCTTCAGGTCTATGCAAAAATACATAAATAATGGTTGGCTTATCAATTTTTTTAAAGAGGTTTCAGTGACATTCTGGTAGATGGAAGAAGGGCATCTTGTACTGGTTGCATTTTATTTCCAGCACTTTTGAAAATTTACTACCCCCCCCCCCCGCCATTTAATACTTTTCATTTATTAAATAATCCATTCCAGCAACAAAATTAAACTGGAGATTTTCCGTATTAGAATCTTTGAAATAAATCATTGATTGGCCAAAAACAAGCGTTGCTTGCCTTTAAAGAAAATAATGTAGCTTACACCCCTTGGTACATGTATATGTTGCATGGTGATCTTTCGCTCATCTCGTTTCAAACCAAAATATTCAGGCTGAGATCATAGAGAATAAGATTGAATAGTGAAATAAAACAAAAAGAAACCAAAAGAAGGTATTTTTAACAAGGGAGACATGACACATACATACATACATACATGTACATGCACACAATCCTGCTCAAATCTTAGTCCACCATCCAGTGGAGAGCAAGGTGGTAGAGTTTTTATCTAGGGAAAGGAAGAAGTAAATCAAATTGCCGGAAAAGTACTAAAATATGTAAAAATAAATTAATAAATAAATAACGAAGATGGAAATTAAAAATGTCGGAAATGCTGAGCATAATGCCCGGAAATGAAATGCGTTGTCATATACCATGACTCACATGTTTTATGACTTGACGCAATATCTGTATTGATACGAGCGATTGTTTTTTTACAGACATATTTGAACGTTAGATATTTTTGACACCCATTTTCAATTATTATCATATATTCCTGACCCCAAACGCACACACAAATAATGGAAAGGGACATTAAAGGGAAACATTCTGCAAAATAACTGTATCAAAGGAAAGCGAATGATTATATATCGAAATGACAATAATATTTATCGCAATTATTTCGGTTCACAGATAAATACACATATTGAAAAGCATATCTTTAGAAGCGGTACATCCCCCTGATGTCGAAAGTATAACTATCAGATCGTGAATAAATAAAATGAAAAGGAGAAAATTATGAAGAAGATCAAGTCCGTGAGATAGACTGATAGAGAAAGTTGACAGAAATAAACAGAGGTAGGGGAAAGGATTTTTCTTGGTAACTGAATAATGGTGAAAGTTTCCGTGCATTTAGATGCTTCAGTTCATTAAAACTCACGAAAAGGAAAGCAATTCCATTAACTTACCAAGAACTGAGAATATTTTGTTCCGTAGTTTTTGGAGCAGACTTCTTTTCCATTTAAATGCTTAAAAAAAATTCAATGGGCGGCAGCTTGTATACCTTTTTTAACGTTCACCTTGCTTATGCAAATTGACGTTTACTGTTTGTTAATGAAATCAATTTTTGATGTAAACATACAGACACACCCACAAACGATACGTTCAATATATATATAACTGATATTTTGCTTTGACAGACCCTGGAAGAATCCATATTCGTTACTCACCGTGTCTACAGATATCCTATCAGTGCTGACACTTTTCAGACTATTTATATACTGGAACATTTAACTTCAAGGTCAACTGCACAATATACAAAAAGTTCAGGAAAAAAATGGGATACATTATATTTAACACGAATGAACATGAAATGTATGGGTTCCATTCAAGACAACTTGGCTCACAGGAATTATAAGACTATCACGATGACATGATGAAGTTATTTCTCTGAATAAAATTGAATAATTTCATATAATTTCTATTTTAAAAAGTACAGTAATCGTTTTCAATTTGTATCCAGAGTTATCGTTCGTTTTCCTCTCATTCAACACTATTATCGAGATAAGTTATGTCGACCTACTTACTATCTGACATCATACGTGCAAGATGCAACATAATTATATTGATAGCGACTTGTTTATATCAACCTGCGATATACCGCGGTAATTAAATGTCAACATAATTGTTGCATCTTGAGCGTATGATGTCAGATACTGGTGTAAGTAAGTAGTCTTAGATTTGCCCTAAAAGCAATTTTCTAAAAAGATTGGCAACTTAAATGTAACAAAAACTTTTGCATGTAAACATAATTATCATGCATGTTGACATACCCTTTTCGCAATTCGACATAATTTATCGTGATATTGGCTCCTCAATCAGTGACAATAACTGTTAAAATTATAAAATACATCATTTTAGAGAAATGACTTTCCTTCTATCTTGCTTAGGATACCAGATTAATGTTTCTTCTGTCCATTATTTGACTCGCACTCGCAATCAAATTTCTTTGTGACCTCAATATTTCAACAGAACATTGGATACGCTTGCTGTTTTTAACGTTTAAATATCGGTTTTATGCAAGTATTGTTTTAAAAGCAGAGCAAGAGATGGTAGAGCAAGGAAGACGAAGGAGAAAATAGCCTGTTTGGGTGAGGAACTGTTTTTCAGGGACTCCCGTTGCGCTTTAAAACCTGAGTATGGGAGGGGAGGGGGTCTAGGGACAGGTTCATGAGGTTGAGCTTCTTAGACCTGATTTGGTTGGCTTAATAAATTTATGTTTTCATATTTATTTCTTTTATGTCATTGTAATGTTATTTTAATTACTGTATATTGTATTTAAAATGTTGTGTTATTGTTATATACGTTTAGAGGAAGACTAGTGAATTTCACTAATCGCGTTACTTTATTTGAATAAAGTACTGGTTTGGACGGTTTAGAAACAAGGTAAAATAGTTAAGGACGGGCCTAATCTTACTACAGATGAGATGGACATGTTATGAACAAACTAGGGTCGTAATATAGACATAATTTGTGAAAAAGTACTCGTTCAACCCCCTGATCAAGCCGTTTTACGATCTTAAGGTCAGAATAGGTCGTTCTGGAAGCAAGTCCGGTTTGATGGGTGCCGAATTCTCTTAATCTGTATGACCCAATTATTTATGGAATCCGGATAGGGTCACGTATAGAATCCGGATAGGGCCACATAGTTCATTGTCGCACAATCGCGAGCATCGACTAAAGGGTCGATGGCGCGATAATGCAATGGCGCGAAGACGATAAAGTGATAACGATGACACGATGGTACGACAATGTATTGACGATAGTACGAAAGCACGATGGAGCGATAGTGAACATATCGTTTCATCGTCATCGCTATCGTACCATCGATTCATTGCCATCGCATCATTGTTATCGCACCATTGCTTCATTGTCATCGTATTATCGCTTCATCATCATCATCGCCTCAAACCTCTATGGTGCGATGATGCAATTAGTGAAGTACATGGCCCTATCCGGATTCCATAGCCACGCAGTTTGCTATCGCACAATTGAGCATCGACTAAAGGGGCGATGGCGTGATGACGATGAAACGATGACTACTCATAGTCATCGTACCATCTTGTTATCGCTATCGTTTTATCCTGCCTTCGCATCATCATCATTGCATTGTCGCTTCATCGCGCTATCGCACCATCACTTCATCGTCATCGCATTCTCAACCCAAATCTCGAAGGTGCGATATTGAACTACATGGCCCTATACGGATTCCATAATAACTTGCAATAGACATGCTTAAATATGACAAATTCCAATTGTGTACTTGAAGTTAACTCAATTCATAATTTGCATGTGTACATACATAAATCTCCGCTTGAATCTTGTGTGAGTGTCTTTATCTTGAAGAGAATACTTGTATATCATCATTTCTAAGATAGCTCAATCTCTCTTTCGCTCTCTCTCTCCCCCTCTCATTCCAAAAAAACACCACTTATTATTTAGGAAATGGTTTAATACGTTTTGATACTATACAACAGTGTAATTAAAGAATAACTTGTAAATATTTTTTAATAAGCAAAAACTGATATTAAACACAATGTAAAAGAGGATTACTTAAAGAAAGTAGCACACGTAACTAGTTATCAGGAATTAATAAAAATGATAAAATTATCTGAAAACATGAATGACTTTGATGAATACGATGACAATGACGAAAATTGAGGATTTTTGTAGATTTCCACTATTCATCACACACGAAGAACAAAGAAGGCAGAAAGAAGACCAACTATCAAGAGGAGGGAACCACCTGAAATGGAAGGATGGAAAACATTGATTTATTGTGTGGTTTTACGTGGTGCATCCTGCAACTTAAGCTAATCAAAATTTGAGGTACTCTTAATAATATCAAACAAATCAAGAAGAAGCAAAGCAAATTAGTTTATATTAACTTTACATTTTTTACTCTGATGGAAGCAGCTGACACTACACCCGAAAAACATTTTTTTATATTAGAAGATAATGACATTAAATACCAGAAACTTTAATTTTTTCTGCTTTTTAATGTTTATGAACTATTTACCGTAAGACGTAGCGCCACTTTCTTCCTCTTCGCTATTGCCTGGACGGGTGAGGTCGTTATTTACATATCCCTGAGACATCCTCAGAACCGAGTTGGAACAGGAATCCTCGTCGCTAGCATCGTCACAATCATTGATTCCATTACAGCGGGATCCCATTTTACAGGAACCGTCATTACAAAGATATTCACCTTGGCTACAAACTGAAAGTATGAAAATATTTATATTATTAAGCATTATCTACCTTCATATTCCGATAAATGTGTTAAATAAACAGCATCTTTTTGGATGGGAGATGTGTCAGATCAAGTACACATGTACAATGTAGTAGATTGTACATAAATACAGTACCTGAGCACGCATGCGCGTTACAGGTTCTCTCTTCCGACGTGTCTCCAGTGCAATCTTTGCCGCCATAGTTGGTAGCCGGATTTGTACAAGTTCTCGATCGCACCTCCTTTCCACCAGAACACGACTTTGTACAGGAAGACCATGATGACCAAGTGGCCCATTTTCCATCTGTAATTAATGTAAATATCAACATGTGTACATGGTCAATTCAGCGGAATCTTCAATCAATCACTACAAGAATTGAATTACTAGTAAGTACACTCACCGATAGCGCATGGAGACAGAGAGCAGACTAAAACGTCAGACGCAGGACCCTGACAATCTGCGCCTTTCCCTGACTGAGCTGGATTGTTACATTGACGTGTGCGCACCCTGTCGCCGTTACCACACGTTACTGGACATGCGCTATAGGACGACCAAGATCCCCATCCACCATCAATATCAGCTGTATAAGAAAACATGTTGTGTGAAAAAAAGTCTTTAAATCACCTTGAAGTAAAAGCGACTCCATATTATGATATTATAATTATATTCAGGAAAATATGAAATAAAAGAGTAAACTACAAGCACTTACGAATGCACACCATGACATTGCAGTTTTGGGACGAAGTTGAGGATCCTGGACATGAGGCGCCGTTTCCTTGAGGGGAAGGATTAGTGCATGTGCGGGTGCGTGACTGAGTTCCTGGACCACAAGTCTGAGAGCATGCACCCCAGCTTCCCCAGTTGGCCCAAACACCATTCACTAAAATGTAAGCATTATTTTAAAAAAACCATGCTTTTACATTAAAACATTGAATTTCACTAGTCAACTAAGGTACCATTTCAACAAAAATTGAAGTAAAAACTACCAACTTGCTCAGATATTTTCTTTATAATCATGTGCAATTAGTCCGAGAAAAAAAATAAATGATCCATGTTTTTTTTTAATGAAAACTCTTCGGAAACGCCACGCAGAACATTACTTTCAAATCTGATTTTTATGTTCCCCAAACGGAGTTTGGGAACATATTGTTTTTACTCTGTTTCTTATTATTAAGGTCTTCCGTCTCCACGGAAGACCTTATAGTGATTCTATTGTTTCTTATTAGGTCTTCCGTTTTCAACGGAAGACCTATAGTGATTCTACTGTTTCTTATTATTAGGTCTTCCGTTTTCAACGGAAGACCTATAGTGATTCTACTGTTTCTTATTATTATTATTATTATTATTATTTTTTTGACTTTCTAATTTTGTGCACGCGATTTCTCGAAGACTATTGGATGGATTTACATGAAATTTTCAGGAAAAGTGTGTTGTAAGATGAACTTGACCTATCTGAGAGATTTTTTGGAAATTCCCCTCCGGTGCCATTTTCTGATTTCAAAATGACATTTTGTCCGCGGATAATCTCAAGAACGACAAGAGATATCAATGTCAAACTTTCAGGGATTATAGTTCGTGATAGGTACTAGCCAGGTCGCTACTTTTTGTTCGTCGTCGGCACTTCCAGTCGCTTACGGAAGTGATCAAAGAAATCGTAAAATTTCAACTTTCCTTTTTTAAATCAACACTTACATCACATTATTGGATCTCTTTTGTAGTTTCGAAATATGTTGGTCCCACCGGAAACAAAAACGTCAACTTCCGGTTATAAGAGAAAAACTACATAATTTGAGTATTTTTCTTTCCCATAAATATCTTTTGTAGATAAAGTATTTGAATTGAATTTCAAACATGTTATTCAGACTAAAAATGTCTTGAGTAACATCACATATCTTTGTAAAATTCACTTCCGGTCGCGTGTTTTTCTGTCCTCAAAATGAGAAGTTGTGTGAGCAAGATCTCGGAAACGGTAAGAGATTATGACACCAAACTGTTATCAGCAACAGACCTTAAGATGTAGGCAAAACTATTTGGGTTAAGAGCGTCAGTCGTCACTTCCGGTCGTCACAGGAAGTGATCAAAGAAAACGAAAATTTCAACTTTTCTTTTTTTTAATTAAAAATTGCATCACTTTATTGCATCTTTTTTGCAGATTCGAAGGATGTTCGTCCCACCGGAAACAAATACGACAACTTCCAGTTAGAAGAGAAAAACTAAAAAAATTGAGTTTTTTAATTTCCCGTAAATATTCTTTATTGATAGAGTATTTGAAATGAATTTTAAATGTGCTATTCAGAGTGCAAATGTCTAGAGTAACCTTAAATATTTTTTCAAAAATTCACCTCGGTCGCGTGTTTTCCTGTCCTCAAAATGAGAAGTTGTCTGAGCGAGATCTCAAAAACAGGTAAAAGATTAAAACACCAAATTTTTTTGAGTAGCAGACCTTGAGGAGTAGGCAAAACCATTTGGGTTAAACGCGTCCGTCGTAACTTCCGGTCGTCACAGGAAGTGATCAAAGAAATCAAAATTTTAACTTTTCTTTTTTAAATTAAAGTTTGCATCACTTTATTGCATCTCTTTCGCTGTTTTGAAATATGTTAGATTCCACCGGAAACAAAAACCTCAACTTCCGGTTTTAGGTGATAAACTACGTTATTTCGATAATTAACTTTCTCATAAATATTCCTTATCGATAAAGAACTTGAAATGTTTTATGCATTTTGTAGATACTGCAAATGTATAGAGAAACGTCAGAGATTTTTTATAAAATTCACTTCCGTTCGCGTGTTTACCTGTCCTCAGAATTAGAATTTGTTCTCACAATATTGCTCGGCAACAGTAAACGACTGAAGTCTAAAACTTTCAGAACTGATAGTCAGTCATCAGTTTATTTGAATCGTGAGAAAATCTTGTATCGCCGTTACTTCCGGTCGTGACAAGAACTGGTGCAAAAAAAGTGAATGGTTAATGGTTAGCACGTTGGATTTTCATGCTGACAACCAGGGTTGAATCTCCAGAGTTTCTGAATTTCTTTTATCACCTTTTCAGCTTGAATTTTTGTTTTTATTTTCAAACTTGGACGGAAGACCTCTCATTGCTCGCAATGAGTTTCTAGTTATTATTCTTATTTTTTTGACTTTCTAATTTTGTGCAAGCGATTTCTCAAAGACTATTGGACGGATTTACATGAAATTTTCAGGAAAGATGTGTCGTAACATGAACTTGATCTATCTGAGAGAAAATTTGGAAATTCGCTTCCGGTGCCAAGTTAAAGACCATTTTCTGAATTCAAAATGACATTTTGTCCGCGGATCATCTCAGGAACGGTAAAAGATATCAATGTGAAACTTTCAGGGATTATAGATCGTGATAGGTACAAGCCGGGTCGCTCCTTTTCGTTCGTCGTGAGCGCTTCCGGTCGTCACAGGAAGTGATTCAAGAAATCGTAAAATTTCAACTTTCTTTTTTAAAATTAATACTTTTTATCACATTATTGCATCTCGTTTGTAGTTTCGAAATATGTTAGTCCCACCGGAAACAAAAACGTCAACTTCCGGTTATAAGAGAAAAACTACATAATTTGAGTATTTTTCTTTCCCATTAATATCTTTTGAAGATAAAGTATTTGAAATGAATTTTAAATATGTTATTCAGACTGCAAATGTCTAGAGTAACGTCAAATATCTTTGTAAAATTCACTTCCGGTCGCGTGTTTTTCTGTCCTCAAAATGAGAAGTTGTCTTGGCAAGATCTCGGAAACGGTAAGAGATTAAGAAACCAAACTTATACGAGCTACAGACCTTAAGATGTAGGCAAAACTATTTGGGTCCAGAGCGTCAGCCGTCACTTCCGGTCATCACAGGAAGTGATCAAAGAAATCAAAAATTTCAACTTTTCTTTTTTTTAATTAAAAATTGCATCTCTATATTGCAACTTTTTCTCAGATTCGAAAGATGTTAGTCCCACCGGAAACAAAAACGACAACTTCCGGTTATAAGAGAAAAACTAAATAATTTGATTTTTTTACTTTCCCATAAATATTCTTTATAGATAAAGTAACTGAAATGAATTTTAAATAAATTCAGAGTAAAAATGTCTAGTTTAACCTTAAATATCTTTCAAAAATTCACTTCCGGTCGCGTGTTCTCCTGTCCTCAAGGTGAGAAGTTGTCTAAGCGAGATCTCAAAAACAGGTAAAAGATTAAAACATCAATCTTTTATGAGTAATAGACATTGAAGAGTAGGCGAAATCATTTGGGTTAAACGCGTCAGTCGTCACTTCCGCTTGTCACAGGAAGTGATCAAAGAATTCAAACCTTTTAACTTTTTTTTTAAATTTAAAACTTGCATCACTTTGTGTAATCTCTTTCGCTGTTTTGAAATATGTTAGATTTCACCGGAAACAAAAAATTCAACTTCCGGTTTTAGGAGATGAACTACGTTATTTTGATATTTAACTTTCTCTTAAATATTGCTTATCTATAAAGTACTTGAAATGATTTTATGTATGTTGTAGATACTGCAAATGTCTAGGTAAGGGTCAGAGATTTTTTTTTTATAAAATTCACTTTCGGTCGCGTGTTTACCTTTCCTCAAAATTAGAATTTCTTCTCACAATTTTGCTCGGCAACAGTAACCGACTGAAGTCTAAAACTCAGGACTTATAGTCAGCCATCAGTTTATTTGAATTGTGAGAAAATCTTCTATCGCCGTTACTACCGGTCGTGACAGGAAGTGATGTAAAAAAGTGAATGGTTAATGGTTAGCCCGTTGGATTTTCACGCTGACGACCAGGGTTAAATCTCCAGAGTGTCTGAATTTCTTTTATCAATTTTTCAGCTTGAAATTTCGTTTTTATTTTCAGAATCGGACGGAAGACCTCTCATTGCTCGCAATGAGTTTCTAGTTATTATTATTCTTTTTTTTAGACAAAATTTTGTGCACGCGATTTCTCGAAAACTATTCAATGAATTTCTTTGAAATTTTCAGGGATAAAAGGTCTTTATATGAATTTTATATAAATTCCGTTTTTTGGTTAATTCGGTTCCAGTGCCAAGTTATGGACAATTTCCTGATTTTAAATGTAATTTTGTCCTCGAAGGATCTAAGGAACAGCTAAAGATATGAACTGGAGACTTGTTAGAGATGATACGACACGACTTCTAGATTTGCAAAATTGCCTTTTCGTACGTTTTCGAAATAAACTAGTTTATCACCTAAAACCGTTTTCAGCACTTCCGGTCGCTTACGGAAGTGATCAAAGAAATCGTTAAATTTCAACTTTCTTTTTTTAAATCAATACTTACATCACATTATTGCATCTCTTTTGTAGTTTTGAAATATGTTGGTCCCACCGGAAACAAAAACGTCAACTTCCGATTATAAGAGAAAAACTACATAATTTGAGTATTTTTCTTTCCCATTTATATCGTTTGTAGATAAAGTATTTGAAATGAATTTTAAATATGTTATTTAGACTGCAAATATCTAGAGTAAAGTCAAATATCTTTGTAAAATTCACTTCCGGTCGCGTGTTTTTCTGTCCTCAAAATGAGAAGTTGTCTTGGCAAGATCTCGGAAACGGTAAGAGATTAAGACACCAGACTTACATGAGCAACAGACCTTAAGATGTAGCCAAAACCATTTGAGTTCAGAGCGTCAGCCGTCACTTCCGGTCGTCACAGGAAGTGATAAAAGAAATCGAAAATTTCAACTTTTCTTTTTTTAATTAAAAATTGCATAACTTTATTGCGTCTTTTTCGCAGATTCGAAAGATGTTGGTCCCACCGGAAACAAAAACAACAACTTCCGGTTATAAGAGAAAAACTAAATAGTTTGAGTATTTTTCTTTCCCATTAATATCGTTTGTAGATAAAGTAT